TATAATTGTCAAGGTCTTTATACAAAGGAGAAACGGAGAGATGTTTTGAATTATTTAAAGTCAAAGAATTTTAATATCTACTGTCTTCAGGATACACATTTTACAGAACAAGACGAATTAAACATTAAAAATCAGTGGAAGGGAGAATGCCTTTTCAATTCATTTACATCCAATCAGAGAGGCGTGGCCATCTTTTTTAATGAAAACTTTGATCTTCAAATTCACAAAGTTAAAAAAGATGAGGGTGGAAACCTTCTTGGATTGGATATTACAATTGAAGAACAAAGAATTACCTTAGTTAATATTTATGGGCCAAATGTAGACACTCCTTACTTTTATCAAAAGGTGGCAGACATAATTGAAGAATTTGATAACCAATCTTGTATTCTTTGTGGTGATTTTAACCTAATTCAAAGTTTCAATCTTGACACTCATAATTATGTTAATATCAACAACCCAAAGTCTAGAGAAAAAGTATTACAGCTAATGGAAGACTTTAATCTAGTTGATCCATTTAGAGAATTATACCCCAATGTGAAAAGATTTACTTGGAGGAAAAAAAAACCCTTTAAACAATCTCGTTTAGACTTTTTTCTGATTTCTGATAATATTTTTCACTTTGTTAGTGATGTTAAAATGGATAATAGTTACAGGTCTGATCATTCACCAGTGATCTTTTCTTTCAAGATTAAGGAATTTATAAAAGGCAGATGCCTTTGGAAGTTTAATAATTCCCTTCTTCATGATACTGACTATGTTAAAGAGGTAAAAAAAACTCAGTAAAAGAACAATATGCCATCAAGATATATAGAGATGAAAATTTACAAAATATTGACAACTCTGAAATTGAATTTACTGTTGATGACCAGTTATTTTTCGAAACTTTACTCACAGAAATACGCGGTAAAACTATTTCATACGCCTCTTATAAAAAAAAGGAGGGTATAAAAATTGAAAATGAGATTATTTTAAAATTAAAACAATTAGAAGAAAATGCACTAACAGAAGAAAATCTTGAAGAGATTGATCAGAAAAAAGCAGAACTTAAAATGTATAGACAAAAGAAGGTTCAGGGACAATATGTTAGGTCAAGAAGTCAGTGGATTGAAGAAGGAGAAAAACCTACCAATTTTTTTTTAAATCTAGAGACTAGAAATTATATTAATAAGACTATTCAAAAACTTACTTTAGAAAATGGTGTTATAGTGGAAGAACAAAAAGAAATCTTAAATCAGACAAGGGTGTTTTATGAGAAACTTTATAAAAAACAAGATTGTTTGAAAAGGGTTGATTTAACACGGGACAATTGTTATAATGATATACCGAAGCTTAGCGAGGATGAAAAGCAGTTATTGGAGGGAAAGCTTAGTTTTTCTGAATTAACTGCAGCATTAAAGAGAATGAAAAATAACAAGAGTCCGGGATCTGATGGTTACACGGCAGAATTTTTTAAATTTTTTTGGATTGATATTGGTAAATTTGTCCTTAGATCTATAAATTTTGGATATGGGAAGGGCCAAATGTCTGTCACCCAGAGGCAGGGAGTGATTACATGTATTCCAAAAGATGGTAAACCAAAACAATTTCTTAAGAATTGGAGACCTATTACTCTTCTAAATTCTACATATATATTGGCATCAAGCTGTATAGCAGAGAGAATAAAATCTGTTTTGTCAAAATTAATAAGTTCTGATCAAACTGGTTTTGTTCCAGGTAGATATATAGGCGAAAACTGTCGATTAATATATGATATTCTACATTTTACTGAAGAAAATAATATCCCAGGAATTCTCTTGCTGATTGATTTTGAGAAGGCATTCGATTCCATTTCTTGGTCCTTTCTTTATGATACATTAAGATATTTTAATTTTGGTGAATCAGTTATATCCTGGGTTAAAACCTTCTATAACAATATAACAGCTGCAGTGACACAAAACTGTTTTCTGTCAGAATTCTTCACTGTAGAGAGAGGCTGTAGACAGGGAGATACTTTATCTCCTTATATTTTCTTGCTATGTGCAGAAATATTAGGCATTTTGGTAAGAAATAGTAAGGAGATAAAGGGTATTACTATAGATGATACAGAATTTGTACTTTCTCAATATGCAGATGATACATCATTGATATTAGATGGCTCGCCAGAATCGCTCGATGCATCTCTTCGTGTTCTCCAATTGTATGCTGAAATCTCGGGACTTAAGATTAATATAGAAAAAACAAGTGTTATTTGGATAGGTAGCAAAAAACATAGCCAGGATCAAATTTGTGTAAAGTGGGGATTGAAATGGGGCTCCAGTACATTTAAGCTCCTTGGAATTACTTTTTCAGTCGACCTAGATAGAATGATTAATTTAAATTATAGGCCAGTTTTAGATAATATAGACAACACTTTGAAAAAATGGTCAAAACAGTATCTCACCCCCTTTGGAAAGATTACCATTTTAAAAACTTTGGTCATATCTAAATTAAATCATCTGTTTCTATCTATCCCTAGTCCAGATGAGAACATGTTATGTAATTTAACAAATAAAATGTATGCTTTTATCTGGGATAATAAACCTGATAAGGTCAAGCGAGATCTTTTATGTCAAGATTATTATATGGGTGGTTTAAAAATGCTAAATTTAAAAGCATTTATACAGGGACTGAAACTTACATGGGTAAGACGGCTGTATAATTCGAATTCAAAGTGGGTGAGATTAGTCTCTATTGTGGAGCAAATAAATTTTAGTGAACTAAGTTATATTGGGCCTATTAAAAGGTCATCAAATAAATTTTGGCAAGAGGTTTTTGATGCATGGAAAACCCTTAATCAAATTAGAAAACCAAGATGTATTGATGAAATTCTATCTTATTCTTTATGGAAGGTAGAAAACTTTAAAATTGGTGGTTCAAGAGTCTACTATAAAAACTGGGCAAACGCTGGAATTTGGACAGTGCATGACTTGTTAGATTATCAGGGCAAAGTTATGTCATTTCAAAATTTCCAACAATTATATCAATTTAGGCCAAATATTTTACATTATTATGGAATAGCACACTCGCTTAATGAGTGGTTAAACACGATCAATATTGAAGTAAAGGAGAAAAAAATTCAAGCAATACTACCTTTTAACATAAGTATCTTCTTTGAATCAAAAAAAGGTTCAAAGGACATGTACAAAGTATTGAATGAGAAATATATTACTTTTGCTGCAAAAGAAAAATGGGAGAACCATCTTAATATGACTGGTATTAACTGGAAAAATATACACACTTCGTGTACAAAATATACTAGAAGCACTAAGCTTTGCTGGTTTTAGGAACTAATTCACTACTTTACAAGATGAAAATAAATAGTAGCAACATATGTACATTTTGCAAAGAAGGACAAGAGACCATAGAACATTTATTTTGGAGTTGTCCGATGGTCGCCACCCTCTGGCATGCACTAAATATCTGGATTTTTGAAATGACAAATATTGAACTGCCTTTGAATATAATGATTAAATTGAATTTTGTTAAAAATAAGATTATTCTGCTTTCAAAATACTATATTTAACGAACAAAATTACAAGAAGTTTTGCCAAATTTAAATGCTTTAAAAAACTATTTAAAGGAACACTTGAACTTAGAAAAATACATTTCAATTAAAAACCTCTCTGTAGATGAATATAACAAATACTGGAGTCCCTGGGCCCCTATTATAGAATAAATAATAAATGTTGAATTTTGATTGAAACACCACTAACAAATATTGCAAGAACAAATAAGATTCCAATGTTATAAGAAAATTATTTATTTTCAACCTACTGTTGCGCCATCATATATTCAATTGTTGTTTAATTATTTAATACTTCCTTTGTGTAAATATGCCATTCTGTATACCTTTTGTTCATACATGTTGTGCTAGTCTATTTGTTACAATAAAGAAAATTCATTATAAAAAAAAAATACTGGAGATATAATTGTTCATTTATTTATTAAATATATATATTTGCAACTTTTATCCTTGTAAGAATAAAAAAATAATTTGTTAAAAGACCTTAAAACAACAGTATTTTCCCAGATTTGCTTTTAGATGTGCATTTTATTTATATTGTTCGTTTACACAAGATAAATTTGTGAGAAAAAAATGTATAAAGGATTCATGAATCCCCTCCTTTGAGTCTCACCTGTGATTGCTGCCATCTGTGTGTGTGTGTGTGTGTGTGTATGTGTGTGTGTGTGTGTGTGTGTGTGTGTGTGTGTGTGTGTGTGTGTGTGTGTGTGTGTGTGTGTGTGTGTGTGTGTGTGTGTGTGTGTGTGTGTGTGTGTGTGTGTGTGTTTGTTGGGGTCATCTGTGTAATGCTGACTTCCAAATATTATAGCACATCCGAGATTTCATGACTATTATCAAAATATTAAGATATTGAAACGTTCTCTACAAATGCTATTTCTTGAAGATGAAGAAGCTATAAATGTCCAAGAATCACAACATTTCGTGAAGCAAATATCGTTTTATTTTATTTTGAGACCATGTATATATATATATATAAAATCTACAATGTATATTTAGCAATTATGCACCTTGATCAACTTAACAATCACACCATTGTCCTTAAAATAGATTTTTAGAGATTCTTTCAGTGGCAATCATATTGCCTTATTATTTTCATGCCCAACCAATATCATTAAAAAAGTACAAAGTGGATGTACCAATAGCATGAATAGTTGGTATGGGATTTGCTCATTGTTGAAGGCCGTAGTGAACTGCAGATGTTTTTAAATTTCTGTGTCCTTTTGTCTCTTGTGGAGAGTTGTCTCATTGGCAATGATACCATATTTTCTTATTTTTATAAGGAATGCAGATCATCATAATATGAGACATGTTTTTTTGTTTCTAGTATTTATATTTTTGATACAACATATACATGAAATACCATTTTACTCCATATAGAAAAGAAAATCCATAGATTTCTATTTCAAAGACCTCCACTCTTGGTAATAAATTTTCTAAATAAAAAAAACAAACAAACAAACACTGTTTTTCTGATTCATTGATCATAAACAAATATTAATGCAATTTTTTAAAAATGAAGTAAATATCATTATAACAGATTAATTGGGTCACAACAGCTTATGCTATAAACTAACTATTCATTGAGTAATAAACAACTAAGAATGTCCAGTGTCATCTTAAAATTAAATTGTAGCTAATGTGTCTCCTGGTTTAATATATTTTCGGAAAGCTTTAAAGTGTAGCTTTAGTTTGAAACATTTCATAAAAGTTTACATCTGTACTACAAGCATATAGTTGTATTAGTTCTTGATCTTTTTCATTAATTCTGTCTTGAACTTTACAAAGATTTTTTTCTTCTCCAGAGATGTGTCTAATTCTATCTGTCGAGTGACGAAGAAGTGTAACAATATGAAATTTAGGTTACACATAAATCATTGTAATTAGTAACTGGAAATGTACACTCAGGTATTGTGTAAAGCTGAAATAGAAAAAATACAAAAATTACTAATCACATAAACTAAACAGAACATTATCCCACAAGCAATAAACAGAATGCAAGTACAGCAGTTTTAACATAAAAGTAAAAATCTAGGTAAAAGACAAATAATGTGTCAATAGAGCATCAAAATATAACCCCAAACTGTTCATGCTATGCCCCATTCAAGGAAGAGTATGAGGAAAATCTTTTTACATTATAAAAGGCATAAGTAAATATATTACTGTTGTGCATTTTATCAGGATTCATTTTCTTTCTTTATATTTTCCTCAAATTACAGGAATTTGAACTTTGTCATTTGTTTAAATTTGGTGAAATTATTCATGCTAGGTACCTGTATATGGTTTTTTAAGCACACACTTGCAGTTTTTAAATTAGAACTTTACTACTTTGAAGGATGTTTGTTCTTTAACAATACATATGCAGCTCAATAGTTTGTATATAATAAGGATTTTGATGTTCCTTTAATTTTCCACAAGAACTAATAATTTTCCTAATGCAGTAATGACAAGTCCTGTATATTCATTTGTCCTAGCTATAGCTAGTAAAAAAAAAAAAAAAAATAACATACAGAGGCACATTTTTAAAGATGAAAGTATCAGAATAATAGAACGGCAGAATCAAAATAGTAAATAAGAAAAACATTCTTCATAAATTGTTAATGTGCGAAACATGAAATATTGCTTATTATGTCAAATTTTAGTGTCCCATAACTCTTAAAAGAAATAAGTAGAAATTAATGCAAAGCCTAATTCTTTATAATTTGGTAATCTTTAAAAGTTAACAAGATTTACTGACTAAGATAGTTTTTCATTTTCTGTCAGTATACAGACATATTAAAAAGAGCAGGGTGTCAAATAAAATACTCATGCACTGTAATGTAGTGGTGAAACAGGGTATGTCATTCGACCTGATAAATTCTCAATTCAACCCTGAAAAAGGCAAAATGTTTTTAAAGTCTTCTTCTTTTATTGTCTCTACTAAATAACAAATAAGTATAACATCAAACTTTTTTTACAACCACTTACCCTTGAACAGTTACTGAGTCCAGTTTATGGAAATGAATGCACTAGCCCATCTGACTCCTTAGGTACATTTTTTGCAAGACCGCTCAATCATCAGGTTTTCAGATGAATTGAAAAGGGATACAAATCTTCATTCATTCATTACTGTTTCCTAAAATAAAAAATGTTATAGATAATTGCAAATAACTGTAAAAAATATTATCCTAAACCAGATTTAAGCATATCTACTAGTATTTATACAAGATTTGATTTTTTTTTTGATTTTTGGTGTTTTAACACCACTTTTAAGCACCGCTTTTGGGCTATTTCGTGGCGGCCAGTTTTTATTGGTGGAGGAAGCCGGAGTGCCCGGAAAAAACCACTGACATTCGATAGGAAAACTGACAATCCTAGTCAATTAAGATTGGAGTCGAGTGCACCCGCACGAGCGGGGTTCCAACTCACAACCTCCGTGTTGACTGGCTAGTGATTACAGTAGTAACTACTTAGACCACTCGGCCACCGAGGCCCCTATTTATACAAGAACATATATATATATGTGATATATAATCATGTAAATTCAGAAATTATTGTATGCGTTTATTATTGCGACCATTGAAAACAGAAAAAAAGTGCAAGATTAATTATTGCTCTTTCAGGAAAATATGCATATGCCTGTCCCAAGTCAGGAGCCTGTAATTCAGTGGTTGTCGTTTGTTTATGTTTTACATATTTGTTTTTCGTTCATTTTTTGTACATAAATTAGGCCGTTAGTTTTCTCGTTTGAATTGTTTTACATTGTCAATTCGAGGCCTTTTACAGCTGACTGTGCGGTATGAGCTTTGCTCATTGTTGAAGGCCGTACGGTGACCTATAGTTGTTAATTTCTGTGTCATTTGGTCTCTTGTGGAGAGTTGTCTCATTGGCAATCATACCACATCTTCTTTTTTATATATACAGTTTGTTTAAACATAACTGTTTCCAAGCAACAGAAGCAGGATACCTGAGAAGATTAAATATTCCTATACTATAGCTTTCTCTTTAGATTATCTGTACACCTGTATTTGTATAGTAAAATGTTCAATAATATTTAATTATAAACTCCTAAATTTGAACCAAATCTATTGATGAGAGCTGATGATTTTTTTTGTATCACAAACATGCCTTTTCCATAACTTGTAATTATATTTGAACTAGCTTTCAGAATTTGCAAGTACTTTGTGCCTTTCTTTTTTTGTACTATGTGTTGATCCGACGATTTTGTCAAGCCTTTTTCACCATCTTTGACCATTGTTTACAGTTTGTTCCTATGTTGTAATGAAACACTACTGTTCAAGGTTAGGGGGAAAAAAGGGGGGAGGGGGGCTTTTATAGCTTAATATGTTATTGGTTTTGCTTATTGTTGAAGACACCACAGAAACCTATATATAGATGCATACATCTACATCATTTGGTCTCTGGTGGATGGTAGTCTCATTTGCAGTCATACCACATCTTCTTATCTTTATATTAATAGATTTTTTTATGTAACTATTTGTTATATGAATGTAATGCTCCATATATGCATATAGGTCACTGTACAGCCTGATTTATGTACATGTACAATAACAATAAATGAATAAACAGCTTTGCCATGAGTGCACATGATACTCCCGTAGCTATTTCAAAGAATAAATTTCAATAACTTCTCAAATGTCATATCAGAAATTCATGAAAAACTAAAGGGAGGTTATCTTTATAGATGTAAACTATTCACCAAAGTTTCATGATAACTGCTCAAAACATTGTCTGAAAACTGGAAAATCACCCCTTTTTTATGAATAAAATCACATAACTCTGAAACGTAAAATCTTAAATATATAAAAAAAAAAAGGGAGCTTACGTCAACAGATATAAACAATTCACCAAAGTTTCATGAAAACTGGTGAAATTATTTTTGAGTTATTGTCAGATAACTAGAAAATCTCCCTTGTTTAAATGAATAAAACCCCATAGAAACGTTAAATCTAAAATTTATAAAAAAAGAAAGCGAGCTCAAGTCAATAGATATAAACAATTTACAAAAGTTTCTTGCAAATTGGTGAAAGTGTCTTTGAGTTATTGTCCGAAACTGGAAAACCACCCTTTTTTAATGAAAAAAACCCCAAAACATGGAAACTTAAAATCTAAAATTCATTTAAAAAGGAAAGGGAGCTCAGGTAAAATATAAACAATTCACCAAAGTTTCAAGTGAATTGGTTCAAGTGTTTTTGAGTTATTGCCGAAAGACGGACAGACAGACGGACAGACAGACGTACAGACAGACGGACGGACAACGGTATACAATAATACGTCCCGTAAACAGGCGTATAAAAACAAATATGATATAGAAAACCAAATGATAACCAGTTTTAACAAGGAGCAAAAAGAAAAATGCATCAATTTACCTGTTTAAATAATAAAGCTTTCCTTATTCCAACCATTGCTTTTAATACTTCATCAAAGTGGGACTGGCACTCTGTATCTTGTATTTGACAGGTCAACTAAAAATAAAAGAAAGTAATTATTTAATACATAAACAGATCCTTTTTTTTTTACAGATGTACATGTACATGTATAAGGACTGCAGCTTTATTTTGAACATTTCTAATTAATCCGTTTCAAATACTAACTTGTTCATTAAGAATTGGCAGAATCTGATTTCATGGCTGTCATGGTTTAATTTTAGTCACTGACAACTGGACAAAAAAGTTCTAGATATCTTTTTTTCCCTGGTGGTCCTTAAGAAAAATCTGCTGGTCCTCACTTTATTTCTATTGCAAAATACCAAACTTGCATCAATCCTTTGAAAATTATTGGTAGTCAAAACCTGCGGACAACCACTTTTTGAGAACTCTGGTATTTTAATACTATTTGAAAGAATTAAACCCTACACCATGTACACCAACCTTTGTTAAAATATATATTTAATTTAAAACCACAGCAACCATAAATAATTTCCTAAGGGAGCAACCATTTAACTTCCAGGGGAGGGGGTTATGGTTTTCGCTACCGTTAGCATCAAATGAGCCTTGATTTTTTATCTCATATCTCATTTTGTAGCTACTTGGCATCAGTAAAATGTTTATCTTTAACGTTATTTACACAAATATTTTATCGTCATTCACCATTTGGGGTACCCAATTCTTACCCTCTTTAAGTCCTGTAACTCTGGAATGACACAGCCAAAATGTTTTAAAATAAAATCTTGATATTGTTGTGATCAAATGACATCAAACATAAGTAATCTTACAAAGTGTTGACAGACAGATGGACATCATGGACATTGGTACAGTTAATATGTCCCGTCTTCGACAAGCATATAAAAAGTCAAGTGATTGAAAATTTGGTAACAGGAACCATGTCTAGATAGATCATTTTGGAACAAAAATCACTCAACAATAAAAGAGTGGACATGAATGCCCCAGCTCAACCTTTTCAATTTTGCAAGTTAAAAAGGCATACTTGCCAACTTTTCAAAATGCCCATGGGGGTTTTGCCTGAAAGATGGCTCTAATAGTCCGATAAAACCTTCAAGGGGACCTTCAAATGTATTTTAATGTTGTTTTTTGGCTTCTCCATACTTTTAAAAGCCTATAGCAATTATAATATTAACTGTTTTGTTTAAAATTGAACACTAAATTGCTCTTACAAAATTTCTATTTGAGAGCTTTCATGGGGGAAATCCCCCACAAATAGTGACAGTTTGCAGGTATGAAAAGGGCATACATGTAACTCTAGAACGGTAAATAAATCACAACCGAAAGTCTGTCTGCATGTTGTGGTTCTTAGCAGCTGTGTATGAGTTTCATAAAATTTGCATGAGACATACTAAAGTAATTGCGGAAACTAAAATTTGGCTGGACAGATAGTCATGGGTAACACTAAATACCCTTGTTGCCTAGAGCAGGGCATATAAAACACCCACAGATTTTAGCAATTCATGTGTCCAATGTAATTTGTATGTTTTTAGGAAACAACTTTAACCTTTACTAAGATTATGAAAAACTCCCATGTACCTATAACATTTATAAATAAAATGCTCCGTTGGGCGCAGCTTGATACGACTGCAGAGGTAGAACCCTGAACAGTTGGGGCAAGTATGAACACATTGATTGTCAACATTCAAGATTGATACAGCACTGAATTGGGATTGTGATTAAATATTTGACACAGCATAGGTTTCTGACACAGAATGAATGTGGTCTAAGAACAAAAATTTTTTAATTTACCTATTCAAACCATATCATTATTATTTGCTTTTATATATCAGAAATAACCAATTTAAAACGGAAAATTTTAAAGAAAAAAAAAGGAAAAAAAAATCCCTCCCCCAAATTTTTTGAACCCATTTATGTTTCATCACCCCCAAACTCAATCCCAGCCTTCCCTTTGTGGTATGGTACCTTGCAGTACAATTTAAGAGAGATCCATACACTTGAACACAAGTTATTGTCTGGAAACTAGAAAAATGCTTGTTTTTAGGCCCCTTTTTGGCCCCAAATTCCCAAACGTTTAAGGCAATTACCCCCAAACTCAAACCAAGCTTTCCCATTGTGATATGAAACCTTGTAGTACAATTTCATAAAGATCAATACACTTACACACAAGTTATTGTTATGAAACTAGAAAAATGCTCGTTTTTTTCCCCTAATTCCTAAAATTTTTAGGCAATTACCCCCAAAATCAATCCCAGCATTTCCTTTGTGATATGGAACCTTGTGGTACAATGTCAGAGAGATCCATACACTAACACACAAGTTATGTCTGGAAGTTACAAAAATGCTTATTTTTGGCCCCTTTTTGGCCCCTAATTCCTTAACTGTTGGTACTATAACCCCCAAAATCAATCCCAACCTTCCTTTTGTGGTATTGAACCTCATGGTAAAATTTCATAGAGATCCAATGACTTAAACTAAAGTTAGAGTGTGAAAACCAATGTATCTTCGGACGACGACGACAACGTCATACCAATATACGACCGCAAAATTTTTTTGCGGTCGTATAAAAAGTACTACCGGTACATTTTTTAAACCATTTAACAAAAAATTAACACATACATTTTCTGTTGCATTGTAAAGTCAAAATTTGTCTGACTTTTGTTTTATTATACGGCAATACAAAATCCATGGATATTTCCAGGCCTCATTAAAAATAATACAACATGTATGTGGTTTGATCATGTTGATTACAAATCATTTGCCAATGAGACAACTATCTACCTGAGACCAAACAAAGTAGATGTTAGCAACTATATGTCACTGTATATCATGTACTTGTATAAATTTATTCTGTAATTTGTTGGTCTCTAGGGCCTATAGTGTTTGGGGTGTTCCTAGAACTATATAACACTAAGAAAATAATACAAGCAATATTTACAGAGAAGGATTTAGGGGGGGGGGGGGGGGGGGGGGGCTATTGTGGGAAAAATTTGGTCGATTATATAGGGAATCACTAAAAGCATGACTGGATTGGGCCCCTCTTGGGCAGTCAGTGGCACCCACTTATGAAAATTTCTGCATCTGCCACTGATTTAGTGTTAATTTACAACTACATGTACCTCAACATGCTCAAAAAAAGCAAGCCTACATTGTTTGTATTTAAGCCAAGACTTAACAGGCTGGTACATGTACAGTAGCTCTGCTTCATGATTCAACCAAAATGAAATTTACATTGTACAGTATATATACCCAGCTAAAAATTGATTGTACCTAGATAGAACCCCTCCCCCCCCCCACACTTTCCCCCCAAAAAATAATATAAAAATGAATGGTTGGTACATTGTACATGCATATCCAATACTTGTCAAAGTCAACAATTAAGCTTTCTCTTGATCTTTCCTGTTCATAAATCCTGAGTTTTAATGCCCTACTTTTCTAATTCAATATCAGATATTTAAGAATCTGATTTTCAGTAGTTGTCGTTTGTTGATGTGGTTCATAAGTGTTTTTCGTTTCTCGTTTTTTATATAGATTAGACTGTTGGTTTATACCATTTGTCTTGAATGGTTTTACACTAGTCATTTTTGGGGCCCTTTTTAGCTTGCTGTTCGGTGTGAGCCATTATGCTCTGTGTTAAAGACCGTACTTTGACCTATAATGGTTTACTTTTACAAATTTCGACTTAGATGGAGAGTTGTCCCATTGGCACTCATACCACATCTTCTAATATCTATATAATAGTTGTTTCTTAGAATCTTTACTGTAAATTCTTAAATTATTGTGCATTTATTATTGAGATTTTTGAAAGAAAGGACAAAAATATGAGGTTAATTTAATATTGCAAATTCTGTGACAGGAAAATGATCTGCATACAATAATAACATATACATGTATCATGCTGATACCAGAATGTGAGTTTTTATAATTGTGATACTCATCCAGTCGCATAATTCACATTCATGAAAACCTCGCAATTCTTTCTGAATTTACAGTTCTAAGCAATTTACTGCCTTGACAATGTTTGCTGTAACTGAGATACATACATGTACATGTATATAGATATCATCTGCATGCATGCAGTGTTACTTTAATTTAGATACTGATGATAACCATATCTAAAAAGAACATGTCAAGGTGGGAAGTCATGATTAACAAACTACATAATATATACTTGTCATACCTATCCCCATATTAAACTGCTTTTCCCCAATGGCTTATTTCATACGGCATGGAGATTAATAGAATTCGTTTGATTGGTTTTAAGCTTTTATTTGGGACCAAATTGTATTTGTTACAAAATCAGATATATTGTACTCATTCTTCATTTATCTATACAAAAAAAAAAACACAAACGAGAACTAGAGAACGAAGTCGACCAATACACAAATTATACACATTTTTAAATAAGCTATTTCATTACATGCTTGTTCAGGTGTTTATTTTATCTTGAATTTAATCAAAATACACAAAAATAGAAGTTTTTATGTCCTAGGGTTACATATTTTCTCATGTATTTGACAAATGTATTTGGACATTTTACTTGAAAATCGTCGTTTTTAGCGTCGTAAATATGCAACAACGGATACAGACACAAAGAGACATTTTGTGTGTTAGGTTGTATGAACAATATTCTTTAATTGTTATAAATTTCAATGATTTCTACTGGCGATCTAACGAAATATTAACAAAAATTTTTGCCTTGTATTTTTATAGACATCGAATAAAATTCCAGCATAACGGAATATGATCTTCAAAGATACAATTTACCAAAAAGAAGTAACAAATACATTTTTTTTTTTATCAAAGTAATTTTCGACCATCAATAAAGGTTTTCTATGTGAAAACTTGCTTTATTTTCAAGGAATGCAGTAGAGCATATTTGATTTTAAAACACGTACAAATCGATCTTTACTATTTAAATTGCAAAACGGAAGCTGAAATCGTACCAAGTGATTATTATTTTTGCAAACGATATCTAGGCTGTCGTCCTTTCTCTAACAGTAGACTACAGATGGTTGAGTATCGGTTCTCCTGGATAGGGACATTGTGCATTCAACCGTGGATATTATACATTTATTTCCCATGCCGGAGGGAGATATGAAGATTTGTTCACCCAAGAATATTCATATTTCACGAGGGCTCTGCCCGAGGGAAATATGATTTTTCGAGGGTGAGCAAATCTTCATATCTCCCGAGGCAAAGGGAAATGAATGTTTTATTCCACTGCCTATGCTTTGTTTACTATCAATACATTAAATATTATTTTGCATACATTTTTTTTTCTTATCCGCTTGTTTTTGTAAGTCAAACTAAACACGACATACCCATTGATAAACAGTAAGGATCAAAATTTAATTATAAGTCTTTTTGTTTTATCGTCTGAAATAAATTTGAACATGAAAATGATTTTTGCTATCGCTATTTGAAGAAGAATAAGAAGTTCAAAACGTTATGTACATTAACTGCGCGTAACGTCGCACGAAGTAATCCCGACATTTCAGAGGGGAATATGATTCTCAGAATGGAATATGAAGATTTGTTCAATGACACGTGGGATAGTCTCAACCAATCAAATATTGATTAAACTATCAATATGTTTAAACAGTGGAATAATATTAAATATTAAATATCTGTAATAAACACAATTTTAATGTTTTGATCGTGTAATGTCTTAGATTTTACGCGGGTTCGGTATTAAGCAAACACAATTGGTATGAACACATCTCGGTATACGTGTAGAATATATAAAAGAAACTTTCAATTATAAAGTTTTTTTTCGAAGATTTTTAGTTACAAATACAAATCCTTGTTATGTTTTTGAAATAGGCTTTTAATGTAGAAAATATGACATTTATATATATATATAAAGTACATGTAATTCTTTATGCTAGTAATCCATAAATGAAATTGCATAAACCACAAAGGTCTCTAAACGAAGATTGCCAAATCAAATCTATACTATATAGGTAGGATGCAATTCAATTTTTCATCATTTACAAGTGCACTTGGATTGTTTGGGTTTTATGCATGTGGTGTGCAATGTAAGATCTAGAGTGGAACACCAAAGTGTGAAAAGAGAGAATATTTTTCGATTAAAGCACACCCGGGCACGCCAAGAAAGATTACCAAACGAAGAAGTTATGGGAACCATACTGATTTTATCATATATTTTTCTGATAGTTTTCCCGACCTATTCACATATTTTCAAGCTTGAAAGGTGACCTATTCCAGCGGCACGAGCCTTGAACACGTGACAGTTGTAAGTAACAGGTCATCTCACAAATACTATAATTGGAATAAAAGGTTAAAGTACTTACAAAATATGTCATCTTGTAGAATGTGAATTGACATATATATTTTTTTCAAATTCGCAGTCCAACATGTCCAAGTCAAACGGAAAATCTCTGTCACAAACAAATTTCATACTATAAATCCATTCCAATAATATCATTTTAAAGGGGCACTAGCTGTCAAATTCATGTTCACCGATTTGACTCAAAATCTCATATTTGATTTATAACAATGTAAAAACATTTATCCAAACTATTAAAAGTCTAAAATAAACAGTTGACAGGACATGGGCATGATAACACGTAGCTTCGTTTCGTGTGTATTTTAGTCTAGACGCCATCTAATTAACTATCGAGTTGACCTCCAAAGTCATCCGATGACCATATAAGCGATGTATACATAAATAAAGATATAAATAGATTAAGCGAACTCGTGCTATTGGATTTTTCCAGGTCTGTTTAATTTCATATTATAGATTAAAAATATATGTTTATCATCGTTTTTATCGTTTTTACCTGTATAAGAATGTTTTTTGTGGATCGGATCAGTCAATCAAATGATTTACCTTCGTTTCACTTTCAATGTTGACATTCTTTTCCTTTAAATAACTTTACACATACAAATCACGTGTTATCCATCTCTAGCTAAGTGGTTAATTTGAAGTTCACATGAATACGGATTCAATTAGGTCGAATTATTCACTTGCAAGTGAATAATTCATCATCAATGTTTCTTAGCTTATTTTGACAAAATTGAACCATACTGGCGGCTAAAAGCGAATAATTATTTCACTATTTCACTTTCATTAATCATGATTGAACAAAAAAAAAATCATATATTAGATTTTTTATATATCTCGTAGCTAGTGCCCCTTTAAACACACACTAGCTGGCCTTTACATTTATTTAAGTTAATACAAATTTAGCTAAATTTTGTGTATTCACATCTACAGATAAATCTCACACTTATCCTAGACGTTATTAATACTCACTTCAAATTTGGATTAACAATTTATTGAAACGGATGACAACGCTTGATAAAATAAATGTTATAACTTTCCGTTTAAATTTTAGTTGGATGCCCAGCGGTGTTATAATGCCATAAAACTGTTAATAGAAAGCTATCTTGATACATAGAAAAATGAATCTTAAAAAAGTAAATTCTATAAATTCAATTGTGAAAAAAAAATAACAATACCGTGAATTAACCCGGGGAAAAGTTAACACGTTGAACCCCTTGTATAGATATGAATGATATCCCGTATGTATATAGTGAAACCGATAAAAAAAAAATCATTTTGATGTTAACAGTTTATTTGTCACATGTCTTTTCTATGACTCATCAACCGTCCATCGACAAATATTACTTGATATTCAGTGAAATGATAACAGAGTGCAAACAATTATTGAAGAGCAGAGCATCCTTAAATTCTAATAGTTTTGTCAAAGCAGATTCATACGTGTTTCAATTTACGAGTTTTACCGATGCAAGGATATTTTATATATTGAGCAGAAATGGCCTAGCGATAGTCTGATCACTTCGAATGCAACACGCTTAATCAAATTTCGTATTAAATGCAAAATGCTTTATCTTTGCGGAGCATTCATAAAGTATTTAAGACTAAAATAAGAATTATAATAGCTTTAACAGCTCAGATTCAAAACATTGAGAATAAGATAAGCTCCTAGCTGTCGACACATACATCTAAATATATAGCTTGTACGCCATCAACACCCGATAGAATTAGGTAAACGGACAGAAAGTCACAGGACTGTCGGATAAAAGCTCTCCAGAGTTTATGTTGCATTGTTATATGTATAACCGACTTTAAATAAATCTTTTATGCTAATTTATAGGACAAAAAATCACAGGACAAAAAGTCACAAATAACTTATTTAAAATTGTTTGATTCTATAAGAGAAAGTTCTTGAAATAATTATAAGGAGATGTGATTATGTAAACATTTTATTTCTGAAGTATTATCTTATAGCTTATTCTTTAAGCTCGTATTTATTTCAAATCGAACGAAAGTTACCGAAGAGATATATAAAATCATAAGTCAAAGCTGGGAACAGTATATCCAAGGATTTGTATACAAATCCTTGGTATATCTAACGTCAATATATATGTTCCTGGTCAAAGACAATCTGACAGTGACGTGACAAAATAAAATATATAATGCCGACTATTTCACGGACTAATACAGTGAAGTTGAAGTATACAGAAATTTACAGTTCAGGACATTATTATTACCCAAGAAGATCGTATCACATTACAAAATTGTCTAGAAAGTTGTGGATTGGTGTTTTAATTTACACTATTTCAGGATTCGTTGTATTATATGGTTACTAGTTATATTGCACATCTAGAGTCTAAACATCACGACCATGGGACCGGACTAACACACCAGTTATAACACGTGAAGCCAAAGCTGCTAAATCTTCCAAAGCACCTTATTGCACCCTCGGTCTCTGTTTTTGGATTCATTTGTGCAGGGTTCTTAGTTTTATCTCTAGTGCATGTTTTGGTGGTATGTTTTATCTGATTGTTTGGTTTTTTGTTCTTCTCTTTATAGCGATTTTGACTTTGAATTGCCTGATTTTACTTATTTTTTGTATTTTCCCCGTGTTTTTTTCTCCCCTTTTAAACACAGCTTTGAACCTTTTTACTCCAATGATATGTACATGCTGCAGGAATTTCCTCTAAGATGTAGCTAAGAAAAAATAAATTAAGAGATAACTATCTCAGAAAAGTTTTATTGCAAAGCTGCCAACAATTGTTTATTTACGACACATATTCTAGATAAATATAAAAAAAAATGATTGTCTGATTTTCGCAGAAGACTTCTGTACTCTTCTGTTCTATTTTAGCTTTTTTTATGTCGCTTTTTTATTACAAACATACATCTTGTGTTTACATTCAGTAAGCATCTCACGACGTTCTCACATATTCAAACAACACTAATGCACGACGTTTACTACCACTCCGTTTGTTTGTTCCTCAGACTATGTGCATCTCTCGAGAGTTTGGGTCATCTTTGCGCCACTTTCCAGTTCTTCCATAACCTTAAATACAATCACTTGATATGACATCATTATCGATATTATTATTATTATACATTCGTAATAGTCGATTAGTTGATATTCATAATTTATGTTTCTTACACCAATATGCGTCAGGCACAGTAAAGGTTAATTGGTATATGCTTACAGCTACAAAGTAAAACTGATTTTGTGACAGATAATTGGGATAGTTCAATTTGTTTAAAAGTACACATACAGTTACATAATAAGTTATTATCTGCAGTTTTTACCAATCGGATGACTATTTGATATTCGGGATAGGGTAGGGTGGAGTGGAGTGGTAAAAAAAAAAATGGCAACTAAACAAAATAATCTTGACCAAGACTAGTACAGGTTGAAATAGAATATTCTTAAGATTAAAAACGACGGTGTGTTTCAATAAACCCTTATCAAGTAGATATTTTAGGTCTGTGTAAACAGTTGCACTTAATATATAAAACGTTTAAGCATTCTATAATGCTTTGTAGTGCTTTGCAATATATGTCTCGGAAGAAAGATGTGATTTCTGTGGTTGGTTTATAAATAAATAATGTGATGTGTAATAATTGGCAATGAGACTATCCCCATACAGATTGCTACAGAAGGGTTCATAAACCTTAATGAATACTCACTGCTGTCATTTTATTTCCTTCAATTGTTCGTACAAGTTTGACATTTTTCCAACCAACTGGTAGTTCCATTTTTTCCAATACAGTCATTTTGGAATCCGAGTCAAATTTGATAGTAATCTAAAACACAAAGAAATATGAAGATCGTAAAAAAAATATTTATTTTTAAGCGAATACCTAATTTACAAGGTGTCATATATAGAAATGGGAGCGGAGAGACAATTGGGATACTGTACGAACGTTCTATCTTCCATGCGGGGAGGAGGACTGTTTTCTTCAACAGGACAAACGTTTTGTTTTTACTTTCCGTTTTTAAACGTTTTGATATTACTGAGAAAAAAAGTAATTTTAACGTAAACTAAATTTACTAATTAATGTGTGCTTAACGTCCATTCTGGACAAAAAATAATATTCAAAGTCGGCAAAGTTATTTTAAGCTTTGTCTCCGTGGTGCATACCGGACATAAAACCATTAGATATCGGTTTAACATGATCTGAAATTAATTACAAACCTCCATACTCCCACTCATTTGTTTGATCAACTGAAGATGGATCAGATTTACAAATGTACATATTTGTTAACAGTCGTCATTGTTAACAGCCTCATTGTTGAAGGCGACCTATAGTTGTTAATTTCTGTGTCATTTGGTATCTTGTGGAAAGTTGTCTCATTGGCCACCATACCACATCTTCTTTTTTATATTCAATTCCTCAAGCTTGCATAGAAAAAAGTAAAGTTCCTAATCAAACGGCAAAATCAAAAGCTCAAACACATCAAAAGATAAAGTAATAATAGTACACTTCAATTTTAACTACCTTAAGACATTGTCCAAATGAGTTTTTCGTCACCAATTCTTTCCCTTCTTCGTAAGTATTAGTTGATCTAGGTGTGTTGTCTGATTCATTTGTAACTGACCACTTATCTCCATCTTTGGTGAACTCAAATGTCCATTTAGATTCTTTGTACTTTTTAATCATTTCATCTGTATAGCCTGAAAGTTAATTTTACATGTATATTCAATACGTAAAAAAAGCTAAGAGACAAAAACAAACATATCTATATGGAAAACTTAAACTAGGATTTCTTTGAATACAGTTGTCATTCTGCTGATTTCATATCTTTAATTTATAACCGGCTATCTTCTTTGGCAACAAATACACAAATTCTTAAGTCGCCATCATAAATTAATCCCTATATAATACATTGACCAAGATTCTTATATTACTAGTTAAACATTAACTGTCTTATTTATATAACGTCTACAATGATATCGGATATGCTTTTATGTCGTAACTACTATCCGTTCCCTTTTTACGAATGTGACCTACCGAATAAGACTATATATCGGTTTTATAATAACATGAGCAACACGACAGGTGCCACATTTGGAGAAGAATCTGCTTACCCTTCCAGAGCACCTGAGATCACCCCCAGTTTTTGGTGGGGTTCGTGTTGCATAGTCTTTAGTTTTCTATGTTGTGTCTTGTGTACTATTATTTGTCTGTTTGACATTTTCTTTTTTAGCGATGGCAATATTTGTTTATATCCGATCTATGAGTTTGAATTTAAAGTCCCTCTGGTATCTTTCGCCCCTCTTTTTTAAATGATATTATTGATGGTTTTGTTTTGTCCCAAATTATGACTTATGGTGGATACAACTTTGGAATTATGGGACAGTTTTTCACAAGTTTTGAGTTCATGCTATTCCGACTACTTTCAACTTAATATTGTCTGTAAGTGTGGATACAACTTACCTGCATCACTATCATTTAGACTAAAAATGGGAGTACATCATTTTACCATTTAGTGTATTCAAAGTATCTAGACTTCAGATATTTTTTATTAGAATCATTGACATAGCCCTAGTGATGATAAATGAATCACTTCATTTTTTTCTTCTCCTCTTGACATCTAGATTTATTGTAGCAGTACTTTGATGAATATTTGGATAAAATAAACGATTATCTTTTAAAAGAAAGTCCACGTACACGTGTTTCATAGTAAAAGCTATATTAAACATATACAACTTTTTTATGTATTTTGAACGATCATATTACTTTAAATAACAAAATATTTAATCGGATATTCATTTTTGTAACAATATTTGCCTTTAATTATTAATCTGAGCAGAATCACTGCTGAGACTTGTCCATTGGTTCTTCGTGTCTTAAGTCTTTTGTTATAATTTGTATCTGTTGCTTTGTTTCGTTCTGATGACTCAAGTCATTTTTAAATTATTGTGTCTTTATGTTTGATTTTTGCTTATTGTTTAGGACACAAATCAGGCCATTGGTTTGTCCATTTCAATTGTGTAATATTTTGTCATTTTGGGGCTTTTATAGCTTACATCTACGTTATTTGGTCTCTGGTGGACAGTTGTTTCATTTGCAATAATACTGCGTTGTTTTATATTACGTATGTATCGGTATATTCAGACAGAGACAATATTATGTAATGAAAGTTTCTGGGATAATGAGCTAGTCGGTTTGCTTTACAATTTAGTCCTGGAACAAATGTACATTTTAGGAAATTGGATCATGTTAAGTTCTATGTGGAGCACTTTGAAAATGGGCGTATGGAAATGACAGAAGTTGAATATGCAGGATTTGCTTTTTTTTTGTCTGTTAACAGACAGTAGATATTAACATATTTGACAGCATTAATGAACCTATATAAATAAGAAGATGTGATATGAGTGCCAATGAGACAACTTTCAAAGTAACAATGTATAAAAGATTAACAACTATAGGTCAAAGTACAGTCTTCAACAAGGAGCCTTGGTTCTAATGAATTTTCTCGATTGAAGTAAAATAGCCGTTTGCTTGTATAACAATGTTTAACATATGTTAACCTTTTTAAGATGACGATTGTGGTTTCAAAATAAAGTTTAATCAGTATGGTTACCGACTTAAACACGCTATTGATTGTGTTACCTTAATAAAATTCAATGTAAGTTGTATCGGCAAATGTGTATAGATGATGCAATCATTTACATCTGTGAATTTTGCATCTTTTTTATAGTAAAAAGTAAAATCACAAAACTACTGAACTCCGTGGAAAATTCAAAAAGGAAAGTCCCTAATTAAATGGCAAAATCAAAAGCTCAAACACATCAAAAAAATGGATAACAACTGTCATATTCCTGACTTGGTACAGGCATTTTCTTATGTAGAAAATGGTGGATTAAACGTGTTATACTTTTCATGTATCATTAGAGTATTTAAGTCAAATTTCCATTCCCACGCCGTGAAGATGACAAAAAAGAATTCAAAACAGAAGAAAATTACAAAGACAGTCATAATCATAAACATAATAAGAAATAAGAATAAAACACAATCATATGATATATAAGACCGAAACGAGTTTTGGTAACTATTCAGGACATATGCAGATATGCAGAATAAATATAAAGTAAACAAAAAACTTACCCAAAACTTTGCCTACAGCTTCGAGATTGGACATAGATACTGATTTCCATTTTCCTAAAAATTTAGCCATATCGAAGCAAAATTGAATATTATGTAGACGTTAAACTGGCGTGCTGGTTGAATATTTGTAGGTTATTCAGTGGCTTTACGTTTCTTTTATATAGTATATAAACTCGTCATTGATCAATATACTAGTATCAGTTACCAGGTAAACCAATCGTTTTAAAGTAGAACGTCCTAAAGTATGACCTGCAAGAAGGTAGAACGACCTATTCTATATACAATTTAAACATTGATTGCGCTAAATTGTATGTAGAACGTTCTTATACATATTGTACAAAAAGTAGAATGTCCTTTAATCTATGCAATATTATTATGAAATAGAAAAGTAAATAAATTTTATCTTAATTCCTAGCTTTAATCCCGCGAAATGAGTCATTTTAAAGAGTAATAGAACCTTGCTATACTGTCATTACAAAGTTCATGATACCATAACAACACGTACATGTAGTAGTAACATGTATTACTTTAAACGATTTGTATTGCAACAAAATGTTTAACGTAAAATAGAATGGAAACAGAAATATTTGTTTAGTGATAACTTTATTAATTCTATTATCAATCCAAGTTCAACTCAGATAAATAGACCAATATTATTAAAGGATCTAATAAATGATTTGTTTAGATTGAATTCTCTCTTCCCTTATTATTTATCTTTAAAAGCAGCAAAAACAAAGTTTTCAAAACCTTTTGCTAATTTATTTAGAAATAAATTTTCTACATTTTTCCAACTAGTAATACCAATAGACAACCTTTAACCGGTTTTTGGTATGGCAGATGCAAAATATACATGTAATACAGATTGAAATCTGTTGAACACTTTTGCAAAATCTACGGAAGCTCATTTAAGATCTCCCTAAAATATAATTTCGTATCAAAATCTCAAATTTTAAAATACTCGAAACGTGGTCACTTATTGAAATCGCTATCACGAATTCTTTTATTAAGCGAAAACAAATTAGGGTCACAAACTAAAACCGTGGGAAATACTCCAACTACAAGATGGAAACTACGAAACAACAGAAACACTGAACTGCTACAAAAACTAACGCCAACATACATAGAAACGGACTTTTTGATAATAACTGCCATATTTTTGACCTGGTACAGGACATTTTAAGACAAATGGTGGATTGAACCTGGTTTTATGGCTAGCCAAACCTCCTGCTTAAATGGCAATGTTAAAAATACCGCTAAAATGACAACATTACGTAACAGGAATATTGTACAAATTAACGCAAGAACACACATGATAGAGAAATATATAAATAAATAATCAGGTAGTACATCAAAACATGTAAACTACAGAATAACAACGCAAATCTTCCATGAATTTACGACAGTCAACAAGACACCACAATAGAATCAAACTGTGCGTCACACAAATGTTTCAACGCCACAAAAAGTGACGTATTTTTTTTATCGCATGTTAATTTATAAAAATAGAATATAAAATTGGAATTGAGTTTGTTTTGGTGTTATGTATTATATTTACATGACCAGAAATTGGTTAGAAAAATCCCACACTCGAAGTATCGACCAACATAATGGGTTTGTTTAACGGACGATATACCATTCTTTCATATATATATATACTAGTGAAAAATTGTATTTCACCTTGTAATCCACTAAAGCTTAAATAGAAAGAAAATAGATAAACAGCAAGGACTTCAGTTCTGACTACCTTTGATCGCCCCCAGTTCTTGTTGCGTAGTCTTTAGTTTTCTATAATAATAATAATAATAATAATGATAATAATAATAATAATAATAATTATATCTTTAGTTAAAGAGAGTAACTCATTTTGATTAAACCAATTTTCAATAAGGCTCTCTACTTACAATATCAACTACATGAATAAAACATAATTAATCTACTATTACACCATATAAACAATACATTGTGGCTTAACTTATAAATTTCACACTTTTAAAAATATAATGACTTGTAAGAGAATTTGAATGCAGATATACTTTTTTGATTTTTTTTTAATTTCACTGGATAGTGAATTCCACACTTTTGGACCACTAAAAGAAAAACTTGATTTTTATAATTCTAAATTTGATTTAGGGACAATAAAATTATCTGATGATGAAAGTCGAGTATTGTACGATTGTTTACTATTTGTAGGCACAATTAAATTGAATAAATATTTTGGTGTCAGTTTATGTTTCGATTTTTACATTAATAATGACTTGTGGTAAAGTATTCTCATAGTAACGGGAATAATTCCAGAATTCTTAAATAGCTCAATTTATTGTTTACGAATATCGTGTTCGTTTAAAATAATTCTAGCTGCCCTTTTTTGCAATTTTAGTAAACTGTCAACTAGAAACTTGTTACAGTTTCCTCATATATAAACTGAACAACAGTAATTCAAATGTGGAAGAATATACGCATTGTAAAATAGAATTCGTGCATTATGATTTAAGTATTTCTTGATTCTTTTTAATTAAGCTAATGAAGAATTAACTTTTTTGATTATATGATTAATTTGATCATACCAAGAAATAGTGGCGTCAAGAAAAATACCAAGGACTTTTTCACAGTGATTTTCATTAATTTGTTGGCCATTAATGGATATACTAGTATTTAATGTGTCATTGCACATGACAGGCAGTTTTTGTTTTGAACCTATACTCATTGTCTTAGTTTTTGACACATTTACTAACATTTTGTTTTCAACGACACAATGACAAATATTTTCTAATACAACATTGAGTGCCTGACTTATATACATTTTGTCTTTTCCAATTACAGAAAAAGTGCTATCATCAGCAAAAAGGGCAGTATTATGATAAGGATTACATCAAGGCAAATCATTAATAAAATTAAGAATAATATAGGACCTTAAACCGACCCTTGAGGTACACCTGCTTTTAATGTAGATACATCTGAAAAAGTATTTGAAATTGAAACGACCTGATGTCTATCAGCCAAATACGAAGTAAACCAATGAATTGAATTACAAGAACATTTATATTTTTGTAATGTTTGAAGGAGCAGTTTATGATAAAGAAGATCAAAAGCTTTACACAGATCCAAAAATACTGGCCCTTCTAAATTTTCTTCATCGATGGCTTTTAACCATTTAGCTAACAAAGAAGTCATTGCAGTTTTACAGGAATGGTTTGCACGAAACCTGATTGCATTACATGCAATAGATTATATGTGTTTAGAAAATTCATCAAATGAGTTTTTACGTGTCGCTCAAGCATCTTAGATAGTAATGGTAAAATTGCAATAGGTCTGTAGTTAAATACATCATTTTTTTAACCTTTATTTTTAAAAACCTCTATAACTTTAGCCAGTTTGAATAACGATGGGTATACTGATTTTCTGATGCTTAAATTAAATATGTGACATAATGGAACTGAAATAAGGTGTGATGGCATTTTTAAAAACTTTGCACTGATATTATCAAGACCTGTTGCTTTTTCCTCATCAAGTGTGATTAACTGATGGAGAACAAATTCATTGGTTATTTGTGGTATGGTAAAAAAGACATTTTCTGGTATACGACATGAAATATAATAATCAAGTTTTCAAGAACAACTGGTGCTTGAGTTTGAATTAAGATTAACATTTTCAGTAATGTTTGTAAAATAATTATTGAAAGTATCAGCAATGCTCTTATGGTCTGTAATTGGTTTATTGTTACGTCATTTAAGATTGCATGGTCATGATAATTTTCACTACCATTTACATTATGCAAGTGTTTCCATAATATACTACTGTTTCCTTTTTCATGTTTTATTACATCAGTACAAAATCTTTGCTTTGAATTTTCTATGAGGTATTTAACCTTGTTTCTCTAAAATTTATAGTTATGCGTATGTTTTTTCTTATGATAATAATCACGTTTTTTCATACCCTCCTTAATTTCATCATTTATCCACTCATTTTGATAATTATCTTTAACTCGCTTTTTAATGAGTGGAGCATGATGATTCAATACTTCAGTAAAAATATTTATAAAACTTAGTAGCGCTTCATCAGGATCATCAATTTCTAGTATTCTGTCAAGGGGACACTGAGATAAATGGTGATTAAAATCAGTGTCGTTGAAATATTTTGTAGATCTATAAGTAATATAATAATGAATTTGCTTTTTTCTTTTTTAACCCTCTTTTATGAGAAATACATACTGGATAGTGACCACTGATTGAATATTTTGGAACTGCAATACAATTAATATTTTCTGGTACATTACAATAAACATGGTCAATTAAAGTAGATGAAATTTTTGTTACTCTGGTAGGTTCTTCTGTAACCATCTGACTCATGTTGAAAATATTTTTGATGTGTGACCACTTAGGTTGTTTTTACTTGACATTACATCAATATTAAAATCTCCCATAATAATAGTTTCCTTATCTTCAGTGTCAACGTTTACTAACATGGTTTCAAACTTAGCAACCCAGTCAGCATGACTGTTAGGTGGTCTGTATACATAACCTAGTAAAATAGGCTTTTGATGAACATTAATAAGTTCTATCCACATTGACTTAATTTCTTGCATTTCCAAATCATCCCGTCTAAGCGTATTTATTTGTTTTGAAGTATTAATTAAAAGCCCACTCCCAGATTTATCAATTCTGTTTTTTCTGTGTAAATGGTAACCTAGAATATTGATCTCTTTATTTTTGACACCATTTGACAAAAATGTTTCACTCAAACATAAAATATGCGTGTTTGATTTGGATTCCAAAATTAAGTATTGTATTGCAGCAAATTTTGGTAATTTATTGTTTATATTTAAGTGACAAATGTTAAAGAATTTATGTGGGAATATAAACGGATTTATCTGGGTATACTTAGAGCATTCTGATTTGTGCTCAAGAAGAAAAATAGCAGTACACACATATATAATGAGAATTACCACAGAATGAAATAAAATACAATCGTGTGTTTGACTTGAGCAGAATTCAGAAGTTTCCTCTAATTCAAGACGTTTGGCCAAAATGAATGTTGATGTTGATTGATTGTCTTTAATGTCACATATCTCCTCCCTGTTATCCTCTCCGAATCAAAAAATCTTAGCATTGTGTTAACACAAGAAATAATGTTATGGCTTACTACTTCAGCACCGTCTACGTCCTGAAATAGCAAT